GACTAATGAGAATAGTTATTTTTGTAGAACTGTCAAGGACTGGAATGCATTACGAAGCGAAATTGTTAACATTAAGTCCGCAGATCGTTTCAAAAAAGTCTTATTTGAGTATTTTAGTCAATGATGAATTTCAATATTGCATAATGACTGACGCTGTGGAATTTTTTATCCATTTTATCTTTTATAGAACATTTTTTAACGTCATTACTTTTAATTTTATTTCATTTTATTTACTTAGACGTCTTGTGTGATGGTAACCCCGTTGAAAACTACAAATTTTTGAATAAAGGTTGAATAAAATAACTGTACCACTGGAACTCTTACTCCTGCCAAAGCATTCACGAATGGAACCCGGAGACTTCAGTGGACTGCCTTTCACAATGCTAAAAACGCTTTCAGTGGGATTTAAGTCAAAAGAGTAAGTAGGCATTTTGACGTTCTCTTCTTGCGCGCCAAAGCATTCTGCAGAGCAACGTCGTTGTGTATTGAGGCCTTGTCAAGAACCAGAAAACTATCTCAGGTAAGTAGGAAAGGAAGTGACACTCGACGGCAATTGTCATGGAAACTGCATTACAGCTACTGGGAACTGGATAGCAATTAAGAACTCCTTTGTTGTATCCTACCACTGCAAATGGCGATATTTTTTCTCTTAGGTCTCGCTTTGGCTCTACAGTCAGAAGAACGTCACCAATACTGCACCAACCAGAAGTTCGTACATCAGTGACCTTGTTAAAGGCCATCTTGTCTCTGAAAAACAGTTTTGTTGGACCTTTTCGGTTCCACCACTGGAAGTAAGCTTGTCTTCTTTCCAACTTGTACGGTGTAAATCGCTCTTGGTGGACTTTAGTTGACTTGTGCTTCATTAAATTGAGATCATGCAGTGTCCTGCAAATAACCGGTACCGACTGGTAACAAGTTCAGGTCAGCTCTCAGTCTGCCTTGCATTTCTTCCAAGTATAAAAAAGGGTTCACGAAAATCATGGCCTCCAGATAGGCAGCCATAGAAGGTTGCATATTGCTAGCTGGCCTCCCTCTTGCTCCAGCTTGACAATCACCGGTCGCAATAAACCTTTCACAAATTTCACGAGTGCTGTAGTGACAGATGCGGTTTTCTTGTGCACTGACCACAGAACTTCCCCTTGTTGAATAATCTGCCAAGATATGGTACCTTTTTTGGATAGGGTACGCAACAACCTTCCAGTCTGGCATCCTAACATCTGCCCAGTTTCAACACTTTATCAAGCTTTTTTTGCCTGAAGTTTTGGAAAATTATTTTCAGTATTGAAGTTAACCCAAGCGTTCGCTTAACCAACCAAAAGCAACATGTGTTTCTCTGTCCATTCAATAGACCAATCAAACCATTATATTTCCGTTAGATTGTCGTTTCTGTTTTGTTCACGCGTTTTTATTTTAAGGTTATACGAAAGTCGCTCTAGTAAATTCTGTTTAAATTAGATACGTAAGTAGACGACCACGTGGAATTACAATAAGTAATATAAGGTTAAATTAATGTGTAGTACAGCACGAGTTTGGTCTTGCAAGATAAGTAGAAACGCATCCCAGATAAAATACCGGTTCATTTAGTGATTTGTTTAGTGATTTGTCCAGTATGAAGAATAAAGGGCCTAAGATGGATCCTTGAGGAACTCCACACCTAATAGTCTGCAGTAAGGAACAAGTTTGATTAATTTGGACGCATTACTGACGGCAAGAAAAGTAGCTTTTTATCCACTGCAGAGCCACATCAAGGATACTATAGTGCTCCAGCTTGGTTAATTAGATTTGATAATCAAGAGTGTCAAAAGCTTTGGAGAGATCTAAGAAAACACCTACAGTAGTTTCACGCTCGTCAATTCCCGAACAGATTCTATTTATCAGATGGACTAGAGCATAGGACGTTAAATAGTTTTTAGGAAATCCAAACTGGCAGTGGTATAATATATTTTAGTAAAATCCAACTAGTGGTCTATTATCTATGCTACCGTCTGATTGGTTGAGCGACTACTAGGCTACACGTTATAGCCCACTAGTAGCGAAAAGCACGGGCTTTTTGGTGGCAAAGACGGATTAAAGTCTAGCTTTTACTAGCTAAATTTTTCTATTCTCAACATTTTTGACCAACTAGTTGGATTTTACTAAAACAATTATTCCTCTCGCCCTCATAGCCTCTGAGTCAATAGCCCATACGGACTTCGGCCTCATGGGCTATTGACTCGAAGCCCATTTGGGCTCCAGGAATAATTGTTAAATACTGCTCGGCAAACTCAATCATGCGATAACAGATTACTTTTTCAAAACATTTTGTAAAATTAGACAACAAAGAAATAGGTCTGTAGTTTGTAAAATGACTACGATTATGTGCTTTGTAAATAGGAATCACTTAAGCAATTTTTAGTTTATCAGGGAAGAAGCCTTTTTGTAAAGACAGATTTATGATGTTGGCCAGAGGTGCAGGTATCAACTAAAGTGGGTGTTTAATTACATGCACCGAAATATTGTACCATCCGATAATCTCATTTAGTTCTCTTGTCATTAGCTAATTGCTCTATTGTAGAGCTAAACTTTGCGACCGTAGTGCTGGTTTAAATGGTTCTCTTTTTATTATTTTCCCTGCTCTGCTACCCGAATTTTATTGTATATTGTTTCTGTCTTTCAGCCAACTGGCTTTCCAGTCGGAGTTTTCCGATTTTATCGCGGTTTGTTGAAAATACGCCAGGGCGCCTATTTTAAAGCCTTCAATAGTGAGTAGAACGTTGATGCTATATTATTTTACTTATTTTATTTTATTAGTTTCGCCAACATAATAGACATACATAAGAGTAATGAAACAAAATAACAAAGAAAAAGTGGCAGGGCTTCCGCAACAGCGTGAGCCAGTTACTGCAGGCCAGAAAAGTAAAAAATATATAAGAATAATTAAAACACATAATCACAAAATTAAAAGCAACACGAGACAGGCTGGGTAAGACTATGACACTTATTACAGAAGGCATCAACCGCTATTACCCCTGAGAAGCTACCGCCACTTCCCTTAGCTCTCGTCAGCTGCAATGGAGAGGCATTAACTAAAGAGCAAACATTACTCGAGTACTGTGTGAACCGTAGCATTAGTCAATCATAGAGGCTGAAATTCAACTGGAAGTTGTTTGTCATCAATGAGGAATACCTAAAAGGTGTGCACGACTTCTTCAAACTTTGATAACTACTCTTTGCATTATCCTAACAAACCAACTACATTTATACTCGAGGTAATGCAATATTTAAGTGTTAAAAAGACAGCTACAATCAGGGACAAAAGTAGTTGACACACTTGTTTAAAACAGATGCTTTTAACAAACATTAAATTCATCTATTATTTCATTCTTTCTAAACGTCGTAAATCCCCCCACCCCCCGAATCAATGTTGTCTGAAGTACGAAAAAGACTTGAGGGTCCAAAATTCAACATTGATTTTGGGGGTAAGGGGTTGGGGTAGACAGGGGAAGGGGATAAGTATATTCACTACGCCAAAAGGGGCCATTTTATAGAAGTGTGTCAACACTTTTGTCCCTCATTGTCTGAATCCAAAATTGTGCTACTGCACACAAGTTGAGCAGTGTATGACCCTGATTTGAACTGAAATTAAAGGAATCAGTGACATAATTATGTTAATGGTGGTGGAAATGACATTGACTTATTCACGACCGAATTATAGTGCCAATTCGAATTATGTGATGACGTAATAAAAGGGCTGCGATATCGAGAATTAACGTTAATATGGTGAAATTTTCTCGTTCTTCACTTTATCGGATTGTTAACGCGCAAACAATTATGGGTAAGGTAAGGAATGACACGTAGTGGGAATAGTCACTGGCCGGCCACGGAAATATGGAGCGTTAGTGACGAGCGGCCGTCACTGCGTTTAATATCGAAACTACGGAAAAGTGAAGGTAAATTCATGGCCAATTCAATTCAATTCTACATTGGTTATTTAATAGGACGCATAGAAAAGATCAGTATTTTTTTCTTAATCTAGGTATCCAAACACATCTCAAAGCCAAAATGTCATGTAGTCAGTCCTTTGCGAAAGTCACCTGTGAAAAAACAAAAGTGGACTTTTCAAGAGGAGAGAGAGCACTAGTTGAGTTTGTTGGTCTGTCAAGAATGGACCCCAAGTCCAGTGACACATCAACAGAGTGGCCAGGTTTTAAAGAAAGCCATTTCTTTTGGAGTGAAGCAGAAAGACAAATCCAGGAAAGCACCTCTGCCAATTTTCTTCTCTTAAGTATGTTTGAAATTGTCCTATCTAACATAACTATTATTATTATTGTTTGCAATTATTAATTATTAATAATATTATTATTATTGTTAGTCAATGAGTAAGTTAAGCAAAGAGTAGTTGCATGGATCAAGTACATGTACAGGGTCTTTTGTAAAGGGATGCACTATCCCAGATCAACAACTCACAACCAATGTATTTTGCCTTTATTGTGATTACTGTGTAACTGAATGTTTACCGATATTGAACCAAGAAAAAATAAATGTGAAGAAAATTCCTAGACAGTTTCATTTTTTTGTCATTGAAATTATGCACATTTTTAGCTGTTGTGTGGTACATATACTTAGGTAGTGTATTTTTAAATGTTTACTTTTCACAGACGACAGAGTTAGAGGACGCGTGTGTACGTATCTCAAAGGGAGGTTTAGATCTTTAGAGGCAGCAGGGGAAACATATAACCTAACACTCAGTGATGTCCTAGCTGAGTTAACAGTGGGTCATCCTAAACAAAGAAGGAATGATAATGCAGTGCAATTGCAACAGCAGTCAGCGACAAACCCACAGCAGAATCCACCAGTCGTTGCCTGCCAGTGTTCCTTGCTATCCATAAAATTGTCCCAAATTTTGCAAGACCTTCCCAGTAAAACTGGAGAAAATTGCAGATGCCTCTTTCCTTGAGCTTGCATTGAGAGCTGGTATAGACACAAACCAAGGAAACTTTGCTTCACTATCAGCAAAAGCA